TTTTTTTTTTTTTTTTTTTTTAACACTTACTCGAGGAGTTGGCCTTGGCTTCAGCTCTGCACCATTAAATGGAAGCTGTCAAATGGTCAGTCACTTTTCTGGAGCAGTTTTAAGCACTGGTCATTCTAGTTAAGCCTCAAGCTTAGATGTGATCTTTTGAAAATGTGTGCTGATTTGCATGATGATTTCTCTCTCCCTCCCTCCCTCCCTCCCTTTCTCTTCCATCCTCCAAAGCATATAGTTTAAGGCTGATGGTACTAGTTACAACAGCTAATTGCCTTGCCACATCTTTAAATACTGCCCTTCTATTGGCTTTATTATTATTTTCTAAAAATGTATTTTTGCGTACACTAAGTGCTATAGTGCATATAGCCTTACATTTCTTTAACTAAAAAGTTGTAAGGTTAAGCAGTGTAAGGATTAATTAATCTGACTTAAAAAAAAAAAAATGTCAGTTTTATGTATAATTGTTATTGTTTCATCACATTTTTTTGTAAATCTGTTCAGTGGGGAAGTGTACTTTTGAGGTCATCCTAAAGTGAGATTATGTGTCTCGAACACTGAAGTGATTAGGCTGGTCTGTGTTCAGAATATTAGTAATTTCAAATGGTCAGGTACAGCTCTCTAAAACATGTGTCTTTAAAAAATATATATATATTTATTTTTATTTTTTTTAAGTGAAGTTGTGCCTCAGACAGCATGTTTAGAAATGTATCAGCTGTTACAATGCTAGGGAATAATCTACTTGATGATTACATTTTAGATTTTAGGTAAGTAATATGATAACCTGCTGCAGCACCAGCAGTAAGATTAAACATGGCAAGAGTCTGCCTCCTGGTTAGACACATGGTGTTTTCATTGGTCTTTTTCTGTGGCACAAACTTTTTTCTTTTCTTTTTTTTTCCACACGAGGGTTATAGAGTATCCCACAGTATTAACTAGTATGCCATCAGATTGGAAATATTTAATTATCCAAAAATTTTCAAGGCATTTTTATGTTATTATATTTATTTTATTGCCCTAAAACAAATTACACCTTACCCACTACCCCCAGTAAGGGAATGTGTTTGTGTTCACATAGACCAGATATTTTCATACAGTGTGACAAACAGTGTTTTATTTAGTTAGTGTTAAGTTTTAAAACTACTTTGGTTTATTTCCAAAAGTAATATAAACCTATGTAATTTTGGGTTTATTGCTTTATCTTGTGTCGATTCACTGGTGTGTAACGGTCCCTGTAGCTGTAAGCAGATAAGTCGAGCCTAATAAGGAACATGGTGAAAACGACAATCATTCTTGTAATGTTTTTTTTTTTTCTTTTTCAGACTTAACACACACAATAATCATAATACACTGTTTGTATTTATTTTTTATTTGTGTTGTTTAAAGTCGGCCAACTGCAGCAAAACTTTACATTTTTTAAAAGCCTTATTTTTGGCAGATAAGACTTTTGCTTGTGTTGTGTGCTTAACTTTTTTTTTTAAACACTGAACTAGGACAAGTTACTAAATTTCACCTAGACATTGTGCTTTATAAGCAAAACAACAAAAACAAGTATAGTCTGTGTTTGTGTAATTGCTGCATGAGTGTATGGGTGTGTGATTCAACTCTCTCTCAGTTTGCCTTTCCTTCCTCTTTTTTTCTCCTCTTACATATGTAAGCATGCACATTCAACATACATGCTTACTTAGATCCTAATTTCAGTCTTACTCATCGATCTGTAAGTACTGCTTGAGTGTAATGAAAAAACTTCTAGCAGCCATTTTAAAGGTTGTGGTAGTTGGGATTTTTTTCTTTCTTTTTTTTTAGTATTATTTTTTTCAGGGTATTTGGAGCCCAAGGTTTTCTTAACTAACCTCATGCTGTTGGTCAACTATAAATTGGGTTCTCAGGTCGTACTTTTGATATTGCATCACAGTTTACAACATTGTCTGCATCCTGTTTATGGCTGCTCTGTCTTTTGCGACAGTAGGAGGAAACTTGAGAGAGTTCAAGTATAGGAGTAAAAAACTGGAGAGACCAGAAATGTATTTGGTTAGTACTTAGTGGTACTCAGTTGAATTACTGTTTATACTGTAGTTCAGGTACAGCAGTTGTTTGGATTAAATATTTCACCACACATTGTGGACGTACTTGTATATTTAGATGACAGACACCGCTGTTTGGCATGGGGGAGTCTTACAGTGTGGTCCGTACTTTCTCTGGAAGTGGTTAAAAATGGCTTTAACTATAAATAAACACTTAAAAAATTAAATGAATGGAACAATGAGTCAAATTAAGCTTTGCATATTAGTTGATTAGATAGCCTTTGTGTTAGTGTTGTTCTGTGAGATGGGTTTATTCAGTTGTTGATCCTGATGTATATGTTTTGTAATGCTTCTGCAGTTTGTTTGAAAAAAATATTGCTGGAGCTTCTAGGGAATCCCAGTCACTGCTTTACATGTGTGAGTGGCCATGCAAATGTAACTGGCTTTTCTTGAATTAACACATACTGTCATTACAGCGCTGTTTTTTTTTCTTTTTTTTTCTAGAAAGGAACAAAGCAGTTCTTTATTGGTAGCATCCTTGGACTACTGTGAACAGTAAAACTATTCATCACCTTCTGAGTTGCTCTTAAACAGCTCTCAAAGGTATCTGCCTCTTTTTTTTTTTTTTTTATTAATTATTTTTTTCTTCCCCCCTCTTGGGGGGACAGTTGAGTCCTTTGTTATTTTGTGGACTGATCTATTTTGTGCAGAGATGATGAAAAGATCTCATGCTGTGTAAATATTGCCCAGTAGTTGGTGAAACATTTCATCATTAATTGTAAAGCTGTGGCACAGTGAACATAGTATATTTTTACCCTGTGCAGTTGTCTTGTCATATGCAGAACAACAATGATTTGGCTAGGCTAATCCCTGATGTTTATCTGGCTTACATGCTACATGAAACGGATTTGTAATTGGGTAAGGATATAGCTTGCTTGTAAAATGGAGAAGAAAATGTCTTCCAGTGTGGTTCCATGCACTGTAACTCTGGGATGGCCAAATAGTTTTAATCAGTGATATTTTTTGCAAAGACCTTGTCACATGGATGGATGTGATTGCTGTTCCCTGTTTTTTCGCAGTTGATGATTTCAATGCGGATCTCCCTTTACTTTGTGCTTATACTTGCAGAAGACTCTGTAAAACAGACAAGAAGAGGCTAACCCAGACCACTTGATCTGGGGAGGTGATGGGTTGTCATGTCCATGTCCCTTTTGCCCAACTGGGTGTAGGAGGTTACTTGACCATTCAACCTTGGGGTCAGGTGACTCTTTAAGGTCATTGTATGGGTAGCAAGTGTCTGTAGGAATGGGTTAAAAAGGCTGAGCAGAGAAGATGACATGTCCAGGCATGCTTCCTTTAAAGGAGAGAGAGAAAAATAGGGAGAGGTTAGAGTCAGTGATGTGAACACTTCCACCTGGACTTGGAAAGAAATGATCAGCTTATAAGGAAATTGCACAACTTACCTGGTCTGTTTCTTTGTGTGCTTTTTGTTAAGTATTTTAGGTTTGTTTGATTGAAACTTCAGTGTAGATCAGGCTGTTCTGCAAAAAAAAAAAAAGGTGTGTACAAACTAAATATGAGATGAGAAAATTATACATGATTATTCTGCAGGAAAGTAGATCCACTGTAACAATAGTGGGCTGTCATTGTTTTTATAACTAGCAAAACCTTTTTGTAAATCAGTGAATTTATATTTCTCATAAATTTATTTATTTATTTTTTATGATTTTAAAAATGTGTCTGATGTCATTTCTCACCTGCAGCTTTGCAGAGCATACTCGTGTCTTCTGTCAATTTTTTATTTTATTTTATTTGAATGGCTATTGCAAGTTATTCTGTTTACAAAGCTTAAAAACTGCAAATCCCTGTGATTGGGAAGTAAGTGTGTGTAGCATTTTTGTTTGAAGACTAGTGTCTAATTTTTGTTGCACTCCTAACAAGGCAGTGTGGACTTTATTAGCCTAGGAATAAAACAAGAATTTGCCCCACAAATTTGGCAATTGCACAGTCCTGGTTTGTAGTTTTAAATTAACAGCAGCTTCAAATGTCTTAAAACTCTGTTTTCTTAGTAACAATCTTATTTTTATTCATTTTTTTTGTCATTTAGAAGGTGCAAAAAATATTTTAGGTATGCATGATATCAACTGTAAAATTAGAATTAAGGAAGTGTTTAATTTCATACTGACTTAGCTTGTACTATGTTTTTTTCCCATGTGTTTTTTTAATGTTAGGCAATAAGGGACATTATCTTTGAATTAAGGACTAGACTTCTACTTATAAACTGGGTAAGTAGAAGAGTGAAGTGGAAAGGGGGCAAAAAAAAGTAAACCACACCAAGTGGTTTTCACTGTTTTTCCACCCACCTGGCACTCTCAGGTAGGTCTGGCTGAGTTGTGCTGTGTCACCTGTGTTGACTACATTGGGTTACGCAATTGGGCTGTAATCATGAATGCCTCTCATTAATAAAGGTGTTTAATTTGCCTGAAGTCAGAATCACGCGATGTCCTTTAGATATCAGAAACTTTGCGGTAATGGCACAGGAGGTAAAATCAACATTTCTATGCAGGCTGGTATAACAAGTTTTAGTTTGCCAGTCATCATAGTTCAAGTTGCATCTGTTTAACACTTTATTGAGAAATACAACGTGTTTGGGGATTTTTAAAGTCAAATTCAAATTAAAGACTTTTGACTGTTACAGTATAACAGATGAAAGCAGTGCCTTTGTGCCACTATTGTTGTTATCCCTACTCACACCTTCATTATTACATGAAAAAAAAAATGTTTTTGGCTTTTCTTTTCTTTTTAGTCTTTCATGTGAACTAGACTGGAGTTTGTGTGAGAAAGAAAACAACTGCTGAACTTATCAGTGTCTTTTTGGAGAGGAAGTATGCAAGAGACTTTATCAGATTCAGGCTATCATGTCCATTTCAGACTAAGGTCATAATTACAGGTCCATTGAGACCTCTAGTGGTAACAATTGTTGGCCTAAATCTCCCATGGGATTATTATCGGGATAATGTTTGTTTTAACACCTACATGTTTTAAGATATAAATGTTTTGTTGACATTTACTACAGCAGCCTAAAACTTTTTTACATGAAGGTTGGCACATTCTTCAGTTGAAATAACTGGAAGATATTTTATTTGCTGAGCTGTTGTTTTATGTTGTGGGCAAATTGCTTTTTTTTTTTTGCATTTGCATTTGCTTTCATCTACATTTCCGATGACCTATTGTGTGCTGGCTCCTGAAAAGGCAAAATATCTGTTAGTATTCATGCGAATTTTATATTTGTGGTCTCTCCATATGACCCCCTTACTTTGTTTGAATTTTAATTTTTTAAAGTAAACTATTATTCTTATTCTTTTGATTTTGCCCTATTTTAAGATGAATTTTAAACCTAAGTTATTTTCAGTAGTTTCTATGGAGTATGAACAGTGAACTGCACTATATGCTAGCTTTACACTTGGGAGTTTGAACATCTGCCAGTAGCACTAATGGAAGTAGAATGAAAATGCAACAATAGTTTGCAAATTTACATTAGGGAGAAATTTAGTAATGATTTCTGACTTTTAGAAAAGTGCCTTGTCAAATAATTTTACACTGCTGACATAAATCAGTCCATGCCTTATTTGCAAGGGTGTAAATAAATAGTCATTTAATTTTGACTCCTACTTGTGTTTTTTAATAAAAGTAGATTGCAAAATCTTTAAACTTCAGATGTAAAACTATAAGTACATTACGAAGTCAGTGGACATTGGTGCTCCTATAAGCTGCTTGGCTCAAAGTTGAGGGGAATCCTAATTGTAGAGCATACAATAATATTTCTGCCACATTTTAAATGTGGCAACAGTTTGGGGAATAAATCTTCTAGTTTCAACAGTGCTTCCTGCATTGAGCAATATCTATAAAGAAATATATTTCCAAGTTTTGTGTGGAAGAACTCCACTGGCCTACACACAGCTCTGACCTCAATCCCTTCGAACAGCTTGTGGATGAACTGGAGGCCGACAGCTAGCCAAGGGTCCAGGCCTTATCATCCAGCATCATTGTCCGACCTTACATTGTGGCTAAATTGGTGCAAATCTTGGCAGCCAGGCTTTGAAATCGTGATAAGTGATTTCCTGGAAGAGTGCAGCAGCTTAGTAATGCCCATAGAGTTTTGAGATGAGGCTTTCAACAAATGCAAGAGTGTTAAACTCTCCTGTCCACATACTTTTCAGCACAAAGAACACTTTAATACTTAATGTTAATATTTTGAGAATGACTTCTGTATTATGTTAAACCTTTTCTCTCTTTTTCTTTTTCTTTTTGTTTTGTGTGTTTCAGATGCCAAGTCTCCTTGGCCACTTTAGGAGAAGACTGAAAACTTCAATCTGATTCTGGTGATCACCTGAACGTCTTTAGGTGGTTTAAATAATAGGTAATGGCTCTGTATCCATCCATAAACACGTGCTAAGGATTAGAAGGTCAGAAGATGAAGACAGCGCAAATAACACAGAAGCAGAGACGGTTTTGAATGGAAGGACCGCAGCAGCAGTTCTGGTGATGTTGTAGCAGCACGGAATGGTTTGTGGGTTATACTGAGATGCAGGCCATACTGTGCTGCCGCACTAAAGCCTGAATATACTACATAGATATCATCTCACAGTCCCTCCACCAAACATACTGTTGCAGTGAAAGCTTGAGGTAACAGGTAACGTACTGTCACTTTTGCATAAAACTGTCTTTACTGACTTGAATTAATTTCTCATAGCCTTTCTTCTCCCTCCCCCAGCTGTGATGAGAAAGTTGTTTGGGCTTCCCCATTGTCATTTTCTGGTCGCCTTACTGTAGCAGCACGTAAATATTGGAGTTAACACTCTAGCTGAAGTCTCCAGTATTGATCGTACTGCTGAAGCAAAGCGGGCCACTCACATTCACAGCAACTAACCACCACTGAGTGTACTCAGACCACTCAGGTGGTGGCAAACAGAGGCTGGCCTTTAGAAATGTTTACAGGTACAGGTTGACTCACTGATTCTTACTTAATATCTATTCCATATTGTATTGACATGTAAAATATGTATACTACATTTTATTACACTTCACTATTATGTGTAAACCTTTTGAGAATAAAAACGTTTTAATTCGGTTTTGTCTGCAGTGTGTTTTCAAGTTGTCATGCTAAACTTTGTGTCGGTGTGATGTGTTTAGTAGTCTTTAGTTTAAGGGACAGGAAAAGCGTTTGTGTTCCTGATAGCGGAAACTATTAAGGCGGCTTTAAGAAGCGCCGCCGTCCTTGAAGAAGAAATGCTCACAATGGCCTGCGTGGCCTTCCTGCAGCGCTGCTGGGATATTTGGGCCTATTCAGCAAAGCGCGGTGACACAGATTTGCTTCGGATTCAAATCGTTACAATCATGCTTGGATTGTCGCCCAAACACCAGGAGTGCTTATGAAAAATCAAGATGAATTCACTTTCTGTTATGTGTTTAAAAATAAATAAACAAAAATAAAAACAAAATACGGTTTTTAAAAATAATTTGTGAACCTAAGTTTGTTCGATAGTTGTGTGTTGTTGTTTTTTTTGTTTTTTATTTTTTAATAACTTGCTTATAGCGGTCAGAATTTACCTTATTCTTTTGCATTATAACTGCCTTTATATTTTTAATCTATAGCGATATATTTTGTGCACTAACTGCAGTTGTGCTCGGGCGGCGGGCTTAGCCCTCCATTTTAAGTGCTGCCAGGATGACGCTGACGATGATCCAGATTCAGACTCCCTTAAATAAAAAGCGTTTAACTTCGATTTACAGGCCTTTGGGATAGGGTCGTTTAAGCTGGTTAATATCTGTATTCTTTCAAAACATCACGTAGGCTTTATGTGGGTGTATAAATTAGAAAAGATTAATAGAGATGTTGACTGCGTTGTTACACTCCTGTAAAGTTATACATACCAGACCTTTCCGTTTTTTAAAGTTTGTATGAAACACATACCAAGTGCTTGCATTTTCTTTCTTTTTTTTCCTTGGGAACACTGAATTCTGTCTAGTCCAACATTTCCCCTTTTACTGACGAAACGCAGCTGCAGCAGTTTCCTTCCATTTGGCCTTATGCGCCTTTTTTGTTATTATTAAAAGTTCAGAAAATCACGTATTTATGGAACTAAGAGAAAAATAGAATTGGTGCATTTAACAAGGGTGATATTTATGAATTTCTAATAAAAGTGGCAGGGATTTTATTATCCCTGATTTATTTCTTTGCAAGAACTTTTGAGTTTTATGAAATTATACAAACAATATAGCCCTCGTACTTGTATATACACATTAAGCATATTTTATACCATTCATACGGATTTACTAAATTATCTATAATGTCTTAATCTTTAATATTGCCAAGACTATACGGTGGACTTAAAACAGGTGTGTGTGTGTGTGTGTATTGACGGGGTAGGTGGGAAAGGGGGGAAAAACAGTACTTATAATTTTGGAAATATTTATATCTTGTCTTTCTAAATGCTATGATTTAAATGCCAAGTGTTGCATTTAAATTCCATTATTTTGCGCATTAGAAAAGCAACAGACTCCGCACACATCAAAATGTGGAAGCAGTGATAATCGATGTGCAGTCTGAAATTCCCTATAGTGACTTAAAAATGCATATATAAACAATTCTATCACTGCTGATATTTAAAAAAAAAAAAATGCATATTTACCTGCTTATACCTTTCAACGCATTTTATTACCTTTACCTACATTAATATACGACTGTACATTAGTTCCCATATCCACCCCCACACCAAGAGAAAATTGGTTCCTGGGTAAAATGTGTACCCGCTAATGAGAAAAATAATGGGAAAACTCATTATTCAATAAGGCAGCAATTAAAAAAAATTACAATCACATGCTGGGTTTAAAAACGTCCCAGAGTACTGGAAATGTTCCAAAAATGTGATATTTGCTACACTGAAAAGATTATTCACAAATTATTTGAATATTTAGTGACCGCCGATTGTCCAGATGAGAGCTTGGAGTTTTTTTATTCTCACTTTTGGTATAAAGCGGTTGACCGTACGCTTTATGGCCGTGTTAAAAAGTCAGTTATACAGCCGCCCAGTAGTTTTGTTTCATTTTTATCTAGTTAACATTTAACAGGCTGTGTTTATATTTGCGTGAGATTAAAATTAAATATTAATGGAGACTCCTACTTTTATACCCATGCTGTATTTGCCTAGCAACAGAAAGCTATATATATGTACATGCGTGCCATGACGTAGATCCTGAATTATGGTCAGTGCTGACATCACTGATTCGCTTTGTGGTGTGATCTTATGGAGTCTCCCTCTCCAAAATGCATATAGGGAATACATAAACAACAGGATAACTGATCCTTAGACACAATCCACTGTCCTTTTACTCTGATCCATTTAAAAAAGAGAGAGAGAGAGAGAGCCAAGTATCTGATTTGAGTTAACCCAGATTAATTCAATTTAACCAGTGTTTTGAGTTTTAGGCCACAAAGTTACTTTCATTTCTATTCAGACGCACAGCAGAAAACCAGAGAATATACACACACTTCTATTAATTACCCACTCTGCAGGATTGACTTCACTGTCTGGACACAGTCATGCAATGAATGAGTCGCATAACAACAACAAAAATAGTATGCACCACTGCCTGCAGATCTATGATCTGACAGACACCTATAAGGATGTAAGGTTTCATCCACACACGTCAACGAGCGGTGTGATCACCGGGAGCTGCTGTGTCTGCAGCCTGCTGAATTTTTCACACGGGCCCTGTTATGTAACGCTTATAACCTTGAAGAGGCTGCAGAATCACTGTGGCGCAGAAGCCTCTGTGGGAGAGAGGCCGGGAATCACACTGCATTCTTTCATTACGCACTTGCTTACTTCATCGAATTGCATTTACATGTATACATTTGGAAAAAGCAGCCCGTTCTGAGCTGTCGCATTAAATAAAAACAAAGAGTTGACTCAAATTTCTCAGATTTATTTGTGAAAATCACGTTGAACAAATATGAAATTGTTTTTGTTTTTTTTGTTTTTTTAGAAAAAAAAAAAGGAATCGATTGCACATGGAAAAAGGTGAATTGGTGTTTACTTGATGAAAAGACAGGCTATAACCTCAGAGGATTAAGGGTTGATTCGTTTGATTCTATGGCTTCATCGAGGTTGCAGCTTGTTCAATAAGGCAAAAAACAAACAAACAAAAACAACTAAGACACGGTAAACAATTAGATGTTTTAAAGTACTCGCTAGAGTTTTACATCTCACTTGTCATGTGTAAATTATCTGACAGCTGTGAGTTAACGCTGTCTAGTTAGTGGGTAATTTATAACTGTCAATAAAGCGGGCAGTAGAGTCGATTAACTGCATGATATATTTCTGACCTGCATCAACCACATCTATGTAAATGTCCTTGATTTCCTGGAGGCACGCACCGGCATGTGCAAAGAGAGAGAAAAGTGCAGCGAGAAGTGATTCAGCCTCCCTGGTCACATACGCTGTGAAGGTGTGCGGCAGCAGCAGAGGCAGCACCAACGAGCTGATAAGTGTGAGGATAAGAATGCTGATCCATCTGGGCACTGCCATGCGTTTGTTCCCTATTCGGTAGGAGCCACTCTCGTGGGGGACCGACATCCTGTCCACTTCCCTGAGCCTCAATGAATCCCAGTTTTTAACGTCGAAATTACGCACAAGGGGACCGACGTCCATGTCTTTCCGAGACGGCAGTGGAGTATTGTTAAGCAGCTTTAACTTGTCCCGGAACTCTTGCATCTGCTGCAGAAAGCACAGGGTGTCGGAAACGCTCCCGAAAGACCCAGCGATGCTGAGCGCCCGTTTCTGCTCCTCCAGCGCTGCGCTCAGCTTGCTGATCTCCGGGTCGTATGCTTGCATCACCACCAGCTTTAGTGTTTCGAAGTCGGACAGCATCTCATTCTTTTTGCATTCAAGGGCACTGATGAGTTTCTCGAAATAGTTTTTTACCTTCTCTGCGTCCTTACTGACCGACAGAAGCGCTCTTTTCTTACTGGCTTGTAGTGTATCCAGGCAGGACAGGTAATCTGCGCTACGCCAGTTCTTCACCCCGCAAAGCAGCTCATCAAACGCCGCCTTCTCCCGTTCATACGCATCCTCCAAAGAGCAGAACTTGTGCCCTTCGTGGTCATTCGTCGCTGCGCAAAATCCACATATTAGTTTCAAGTCGGTGGCGCAAAATATGTTAAGAGGCTGACCGGAGTGTTGTTTACATGCAGACATTTTGGGTATAACCTTTATTTTGCTGAACTTCTCGACTATCCCGCGCAGAGAGTAGTTGATCTGCAGGCTGTTTGCGCCGTTGTGGGGGGTCTCTTTGCGGCAGGTGGGGCATTTGAAAGGTGTCCTAAAAGCTGGACCTCGATTCCCCTCCAAGAGTCCCTCCAAGCATTTCTTGCAAAAGCTGTGTGAGCACAGCAAGACCCGCGGGTCCTCGAACAGACCGCAGCAGATTGGGCATGTAAGTTCCTCTTCTAGCTGCTCCATTGCACCCTGCAAACACATCATCCAGGCGTCAAATCGATACTCAATTTAGAAAACAAACGAAAAAAAAAAAAACCCCAACAACAAAACAAAACAAAAACCCAACAGCAAAAAAAAACACACGATAAAACGCACTACACAATACGCACCCACTAAGGGATGCCTCCCCATAAGGCAGAAGATGCAATATTTGAACACGAAAAACAGTGATGCAGCATCGCAAAGGATACAGATTTGGCTGTCACGTTCCAAATGTGTGTGGAATATCCCCATCCCGAAAGTGAAACCGACTCGGATCCCTGTACGCGCGTAAAAGCTTGGATTGAGCTCTGCCAAAAGCTCCGTTTGAGCAATTTGGGTCACGCAACATCCTGATTTTTGATGTATCTCAGTTGCCAGTTGGCGTTGTAAGAAACTTTTAAAAAGAGAGAGAGAGAGATCTCTGCAGGTTGGATGTGAATCAGAATCATCAGTAACTTTATAGTTAACAGTAAATCATTATCTCCAAGCTGTGTATTGCAAAATAGGACGGTGGTTAGCTGAGCTGAGCTGAGCCCCTAAATCCCCGTCGTCTAACCAATCCAATGCGACAAATTATCGACAAACAGCGCTCGCGTTAGAGTCGATCCTGTTGGCAAGGTACTGAAGGAGGGCTGTGACAGATTTTGCAAGCGCATAGTAACATGCAACTACTGGACCAAAAGATTCACTCACCAGCTGCTGACTGCTGAGACGCACAGTGCAACGCAATCATGGCGCTTGTTGCTGTGCAGACTTCGCCCTTTTCCGGGTTTGGAGTTAACCATTTCAGTGGCGTGCCAAACATTTTCTGCAGCATAAAAACTCCTCTATAACAGCACACTTATAATTCAAACTGCACATAAATCCATACCGAAATGAAAACTATTGGCGTGTTAAAGCGATTTGACAGGTTTCCCCTTGAAAATCGGGAAGTTTACGTTTTTAGCCCTGCGGGTAATTTGCAGAGGATCCCTGCTTGTCTGTTGGGGGAGGGGCTGTTGCTATGCAAAACATTCCAGCGTGAAAAACTGTCAACTAGGTTTTAGTCGCAGCTTTGCCGTTGCACGTTTTTTTTCTGCAGTGGACTACTTCTGTCCCTCGTGTTGGCACTTGTCAATATATACCTGCAAACGATTTACACGCTAAGAGGCGCACGTGTGGACCTCCATCTGTATTAGCTTATTTATATATATATAT